GTGAGAAACAGTGCGGAGACACAAACAGATCATCACGGCTTGAGAATAATTGTGCAGCGAGGAGTGACCACGGGTTCTGGCCAGTGCTCAACACTCAGGGGAGGGATGAGACGGATATACAATAAGACTGTTAGTGGTACCATCGGGAAAAGAACTTTGTGCTTGCTGCTGAAGATGGGGACAGAGCGCTTATAGGATATGTCAGCTCTCAACTCACGTCTGTTTAATTCTTGTAGCTTTTTAATATTGCATAGATTTTACTAGTATACATCGGCGATAGGGTCGCCCATTGGCTGGCCAGTCAACGGCTTTGTCGTCGGGCGGGACATTGGGTCGCCCATTGGCTGGCCAGTCAACGGCTTTGTCGTCGGCCGGGACACAGGGTCGCCCATTGGCTGGCCAGTCAACGGCTTTGTCGTCGGTCGGGACAGTATTTGGGATTGTTTGATCACATCAACACTGCAAGAGTCCTTTTCAGTGCTACTTGGTGGCAAGCCATGCTAAGCCGTTTTATATGGCACCACAAACCTAGTCACAATTACAATCAAAACCTCCCCCACCTTAAGGGTATGCTGGTGGAACATGGTGATTTTGTTTCCTCTCACAAAGCAAGTACTAGTTTTACGTTTTTGATCATTTTAACCCTCATCAGTGAAGTATGCAAAGGACCCTTTTCACACCGGTGCCAAGCGGACACATTATGCCACTCTGTTATAGATCAATTCCGCCCAACAATGTTATGGCGGCTGCCTTCACTTCCCATTTTAGGAATCTAAGTACCTCTTCCAATATATCAATAAGCTGCTTACCTGCGAATGCACATCTAAATATAAACACAACTGAAAGCATATGATTTTATAGAGGTAGATAGTGAGAAAAGAGTGTTAATGGCAAAACTTGTATGAAAATAATGAAACAAATACTAGAAGATGTCAGTTGGTTCAAATTGTCATACACTGGGAAACACATACAGTGATCTTCTTTGTCTTGTGCCCTTAATCCCTTCATGTAGCGAAAGCCCATAACAAACCTACACCAAGTCTTTGCTATCGTATACAGCTTAACCCATATCCTACCCATCTTGCCCCCATCACCCTTAAGTTTTCTCCCTCCATGTTTTTTTGTTTTCTTGGTGTGGGTCTGCCTTTACTCCTTTGACCCTGTGGCTTCCAGGGCAAAGACATTCCAGTTATCAAGTATACAACAAAACTGCTGCCAACAAATGTCGTGATTCTTTACGGACAGTTTCATTCATTGAGACTGTCCAATCGTGTCGCTCAACAGAACACTCAATTCTGCTGAATTTATTTTCTCTGCAGATCAGTTTCTACTAATGATGGGCATTGGAAAGAACTTAAAACTACAGTGAATACAGAGGTGAGGAAAAGATCCTGGCACTGGATAGGAAATATACTGAAAATGCCGGCTAACAATATAACTAGAATATCCATTCACTGGAACCCACATTGTCAAGGAAATAAAGGCAGACTGCTTACCCCCCCCCCCCCCCCCCCAAAAAAAAATGAAAGGAACTCGAGATTGAAGTTAAAACAGGTAGGGATGACATGGGTGTAAATGCTTGAAATAGCAAAGGATAGGAAGACCTGGCATGAGTTGGCTGAGGGCCTATGGTCCACTGGAGGTGAAGAAGAAAGATCAGTTTATTGTTAATGCTTCACTTGGAAACAATAGGACATCTACTGCTAACTACGGGAGTATTACATGCCCAGGCCCTCAATCTCTTCTACGGTGTGACTCTCATTCCACTGCCTGAAAGCCATGAGAACGGTCTCTTCTTTGTGAAACCACCCAGGGTAGGAATGAAACCCTGGTAAACACTGATGACTGCAGTGTGAAACCGGTTTACTAACCTTTAAGCCATCAAAATATAAACTTCAAGACAAAAATTTACACTTCAGCTCAAATTCCAAAATGACACATAATCAGTTCAAATTCCAAAATGACAGTTCACAAATTGAAACTAAATGAAAACGGCACACCAGCCATTACTTAATTAAAGTAACACAACAACTGAAATTCTAAAACAACATACAAAACAGTTTCAGCCCGCATGTATATTCCTTGAATGGTTCGGACATGTATCAAGACATAACACATGACAGTGCACCACAGAGAGCCCTACATTACGATAGCAATGCAAGCACAATTAGCAGTGGCCAATGCAAGTAATGGAGAATCGGAGTACCCCAGGCTGTGAATGCTAGTAACTAGACAATACACACCAAGACTTGCGCTGATGACTCTTCAAAACCTGACCAATGAAAGCTACAGCAGGACTGGAGTAAAAGGAAGCATATATTCTTTCAATTCTATGGTTTTTTTTTCCTTCCTTTAAATTCAAACATATACAGATAGAAACCTTTGCATCATTTTCAATTCCACTAATCATCACCACCACCAAGTGCCTTGCAGACTGGCATTGGCAATGATGTCTCTCAACAACATGCAATCACCAACAGCATTGATCCGCTCACATCCTGTTGTTCTTTCTAATCTTTTCTATTCTCCTCACAAAGAGTATTTTATAGCAAGTTCCAGCAAGGGAAGAGGTGCCAGGGAGGACAGAAAAAGCGCTATAAGGACACACTCAAGACTGCTCTAAATTCTGTTGGCATCAACACAGCGACGTGGGAGGCTGCTGCACAAGACGGTTCTGCATGGCGTACATCCCTCAGGCATGGTGCATCAGCCTGTCAGGCAGCGGAGGTTGCACAGGCAGAGAAACGGAGGCAAACTAGAAAGAACCGTACTGCTACTCCCACACCTACTGCGGTTTCCTTCTGTTGTCTGCATGCTCAAAAACTTTCCTGGCTCATACTGGACTTATCCGCCGCCTTCCTTTTCATCACTTGTGAAGGACAAACAAGATCATTCTACTCTTTGCCCTTTCTATTTAACCTCAGCGAACAAATACAGCACATTTTACTTTTAATGGTCTGAAATTTAAAAAAAAAAAAGCAAAATAAAACATACTGACAGCCATAAACAAAACAAAAAAATGTATCAACAGCACTATTTAGCGTATCACCAAAGGAAATCACTGTTATAAAGTGAGAACTGAATTGCATATCCCCCAATAATGTAAATTTTATACAAAGTATGTACAAATGACCTCACGTACTCATCACAATAGCCAGCGACTGAGAAGTTGTCATATTTATCCTTGGATTCACAAAATCTTATGACTCAGACATTCTAACACTTTATTTATTCATTAACAGTTATTTACTTGCTGTAGCAAACCAATGATGTTATAAATTTCATTTACTTCAAATAAATAACGTTGTCATTTTTTAGTTTTTGTGTGTGTGTGTGTGTGTGTTTTTTTAAGCTTATGTTGTCATGTCCGCCATATCAGATACATTTTTAGCACAGAGTTTACTATTTATTTATTTATTTGAAATAAACATAAGGTTTACGCTTTAAAAAAATGTTTTAATCACACACAGTTTATGTTCTATTCTTACTGAAAATAAATAACAAGTTTATGTTTTTGACTTAAATATAATATTTATGTTATCTCCTGTTTTTAAAAAAATAACAGTTAATGTTCTTTACTTCAAATAAACAAAAAGTTTATGTTAATTTCTTACTAAAAAAATATATAAGGTTTATACTTTACACTTTAAACAAAGAGTTTATGCTATTTACTGGTTGCGAAAAACTTTTACTCTAAACATTATTATGTATTAATTACAACAAACATAAAGTTTATGTTCTACATTTCTATAAATACATACTCAAGGTTAACGCTTACACACTACAGCAGCATTATAATTATATGTTTTACATTACAATGAAGTTTATATGATAAACATTAAATAACATACAGTTATGCTTTTATTTTCATTCTCTGCATTTCAGCATGTGGTTTATTTGATTTTACTTTAAAACAAAGTTTATATGCTTTACTGAAACCAGACTTTTTTCTTTTCAAAACTGACCTTGGCTTCCAGGTCGACCTAGCCTTGAGTGGGTACCGGGTATAGTTCTGGGAAGTAAAGGCGGCTGGCATGATGTTGACCACATCATCGACCGAGTGCTGATTGGTCTGTAAAATATAGGTCCAGCCCTATATGCCCAAAGGCATGGAAAAGGGTCCTTTACTTTACTACGCTTTACACGAAATAATATATAGTTTGTTTTTCTTTTCATCATCTGTATTTTAGCATTAGGTTTATATAAAATAAAAGGTAAGTTCTTTTTTTAGATAAACAAAATTTATGTTACTTATGAATTCCAAACAGATATAAAGTATATGTTCTTCATTTACAATTAACATAAAGTTTAAATTATTCATTTATTCCAAATGTATATAAGCTTTCTCTTCTCCATGTCTTTAAATTTACATAAGGTTTATGTTAAGATATTAACATAAGAAAACACGGCTGAAGACAAGATCTTATGTCGAGAACTTGTAGTTTTCATAATTTGATTTTAAATAAACAAAAACATTATATAAGATGTTCTCCAATTTTTAAAATGCACATAAAAAGGTTGATGTTTTCAAGTTAACAGGAGAAAACTGTGCTGACTACAAGAAGATACTCTGTCATTAACTTGTTTAAATAGTTTTTAAATTCTACACTACTACGTCTGCACACACCCGTAAGAATGTTTGGCATACTGTGTTGTGGTTTGCAGACAGGCTGTGATATCTGCATCTTTCAGCCCAACACACTCAATGTTAGCATATCCCTAGCTAGTAACCTTCATGAGATGCTTTTTACGGAGCTGTGGGCTTATGCCGACCCACCTAATAATGGGGGCCCCATGGAGCCCACACTGGGGGCCCCGTGGAGCCCACAGTGGGAGTTAATTTCAAATGACTGTGTGGTTAAGGTTCTTCAATTCTTAAAACACACCGAAGGGTTCAGGTACAGAAGTCCAGATGAGACAATTTGGCTGACGACAAGAGCTTCTATCGGGAACCTGCTAGTGAATGTCATGAAGGTTTGAACGCACGTCTTGGTCACATACTACCTGATGCGGGTGAAGAGATTCAACACAGACTTGGACTCCTGCAATTGCAAAACAAGTACAGTTTAGTTATGGATATGACACTCTTTCCTTTCTCCTCTTCACATTCACTGGCTGTAAACTCCAGCTAAAAGTTCTGATTGTTTGTCCCCCATAGGACTTTAGTCTTCAGAACCTCAGTGTTGCATGCACATCCGTTTTACACATCTGGTTTATTTGTATGCAGACTATTGGTTTCTTGCCTCTCAGGCAGATACACTCCGACTTCAAAGGATGCCACAATTAGTAGACCCCTACGATATGCTTGTGGGGGAGACAGTGGGTCTATTCTTATTCTCCCCCCCCCCCCCCCATACGGGCAACTCTTTCCTTCAATTTTCCTGTTATGAAAATGCAGTCAAGTTTCTCCTTTCTCATATTTTGTTAGCGTTCAACGGCTGAAACTCAGACGGAAAGCTCTGGTTGTTTGTCCACTTCTAGCTAGACTCTAGTACTGTTCCAGAAACTGAGTGTTGCATGCACATCAGTTTCACAGGTCTGACTCATCTGTATGCAGAACTGTTGGTTCCTTGCCACTACGACTTCGAAGAAAGCTCCCAAATTAATCGACTCTTACGACCTGCTTTTGGGCAGGCAGTGGGTCTATTCTTGTTTTCCCTACAATGGAGCCCTGGAACGAACACCGGCAACTCTTTTCTTCAATTTCCCTGTTATGACCATGCACTACAGTTTCCTCTTCTCATGACTTCTTCTTCTCTTCCTCAATTCCCATCACTAAGTTATGCGGCGAGATGTAAGGTTCTTCTGTGTGCTCCTTCTAATGTCTTGTGTAAGTTTACTGATCTTCATTTCTTTAAGACTGTTCTTGGTGCTATTATTCCATATTCTGCATGGTCTTCCTTTTGCTCTGTGTACAATATATTTTTCCAGAATAGCTCTCTGTGGCAGTTGGTATCAGGGCAATCTCATCATATGACCAAACCATCTCACCTGTTGATCTTTCATTAACTGTATGTCAGGTTTCAGTCCTATTCTTCAATTTTTTTCTTTCATTTTCAATGTTATCTTTTCTTCTTTAGTATGGCTTTCCGTGGCGCTGGTGCCAGTCCATTTCATCATCATCATAAACCACTTCTGCCGTTAAGCGTCGTGGGGAGGAATAATTTGCGATCCAGTGCACGTTGGCTGCCACTGACTATTGTCATGCCGTGAAGGCGTAGAGTGTCTTCAATGTTGTCGATCCATGTTTTCCGCGGCCATCCTCTTGCTCTTGTAGTTGATCTTCTAAGATGTAGTGCTTGTGATGGTATTTGATCTTGCTGCATTCTAACGAGATGGCCAAACCACTTGATCTGCTGTTTCTCGGTGAATCTAGTACAAGGTGTCGTTCCCACAATTTGCCTGATAGTTTCATTATTCACTGGATCTCGTATGGTTAGGTTGGCTGCTTTTCTCAGGCACCTCTCAGGCCATTTATCTCTCTTAAATTTTTCTTGAGCATCACTTAATGTGAGTTGGTTGACGGCACTGCTCCAAAGTGTGTTTTAAAGGCAAGAGAAACAACTTTATTCACTGCACTAGACTTCATCCCACATGGCCTGGTCTATCTCTGCAGAGCAGCTGGTTGCCAGTAAGGACACTGCATAAAGAACAAATCTTGTAGCTCGGCAACCATCCCTATGAATTTTTAAACCGGTACTTACAAACCACAGGAAGAAATCTGAAAATGAAGTTACAAACTTCATTTTATGAAGCAAGCGACAACCACTTCGCCGTACGGCTCATATTCTAGTGAAGAATAAAAAGAAAAAGAAGAACAGAAAAGATAAATGGGAGAAAAAAAAGAATAAGAAGCAAGAAAACAATATTTTGGGGCACCATGGTGGTGCAGCTGCCGGGATGCTTGCCTGTCAGCCAATAGATCTAGGGTTTAAATCTGCATCCAGGCAGATTTTTCTTACAAAACTGACCTTGGCTCCCAGGTTAACCCAACCTAAAATTGATATCAGGTAATGTCCTGGAAAGTATAGGCGCCCAGCACAATGCTGATCACATCACTCATCGAGCGCTGATTGGTTTATAAAAATATAGATCCAGCTCGACACACCCATTGGACTTCAAAAGTGGGGGGGGGGGGGGGGGGGGGGGGGGATTTGAAAAATACTACTGTAACTAATACAAAATCTTTTTTCTTTTGTTGTCTCACTGATACCAAGTTGTAGCCCATTATCGTGGTTTTCGGTGTTTGTCCTGCACTTCTCGGATAATGGATTTGTTCACCTGACTGCAGGTTCCAGCTACATCAGTTATCCATCTCTTTTCCTGGTCTTCCCCTCGCTTTCCTCCTAGATGGTTTGCTGTTGACAAATATCATCATATGCAGTTTGGTCTGCATGCATTCTGTCTAGATGGCTAACATTTTTCATTTTGTCGTCTGTCTTTATAATTCAGACACTGTCTTATTCCCCCTGTCTCTTTAATGCTGGTATCCCTAACCCTGTCCCTTCGTGTGTTGTTAGTGACCATTCGGAGACCGCACATTTCACTAGTACAGAATATATACAAACAAATATTATTACAGCAATCAGTATGGTTAAAGTCATGTTTCTCACAAGAAATTCTTACTTTGGTTGACCTTGTTTTACTAAAGACATTCCAGAACCTCAAAGTCTCATCCCCTGCCCCGGTTACTATTGCTTCCCCATCTGGTGACATCGCCTATACATTAGAAACAGGAGACACTATTTTATTTATATATCAGTTGAGAATATATGAGTTTTGAGCTGGGTATATATGAGGTATGAGTTGAGAATATATGAGTTTTGAGCTGGGTATATATGAGGTATGAGTTGAGAATATATGAGTTTTGAGCTGGGTATATATGAGGTATGAGTTGAGAATATATGAGTTTTGAGCTGGGTATATATGAGGTATGAGTTGAGAATATATGAGTTTTGAGCTGGGTATATATGAGGTATGAGTTGAGAATATATGAGTTTTGAGCTGGGAATATATGAGGTATGAGTTGAGAATATATGAGTTTTGAGCTGGGAATATATATGAGGTATGAGTTGAGAATATATATGAGTTTTGAGCTGTTTATATATGTAAATTATGAGTAGGGTGTATATGAGTTGGGTGTATATGAGTTGGGTGTATATGAGTTATGTATATGTGAGTCATGGGGAGTCATCGTGGCGGAGCGGCTAGACACTCGCCGCGGATCGGAAGGTCGTGGGTTTGCTCCCTGTCAAAGCCGGACTTTTAAAAAAAATGACTTTGGCTACCAAGTCAACCCAGCCTTGAGTGGGTACTGGGTGCAGTCCCGGGAAGTAAAGGCGGCCGGGGTGATGCTAACCACATCACCCATCTTGTGCCGATTGGTCTATAAAATACAGGTCTAGCCCTATATGCCCTATACGCCTAAAGGCGTGGAAAAGGGTCCTTTACCTTTACTATATATGAGTTATGAGTTGGGTGTATATGAGTTATGAACTGGGTTATCTTCATGGCCCTAGTGACCGGAAACATTCATAGGTGCCCAGGTTCCACATTTAACAGATTCAACGTTTTTAATAGTGCCAGCCCTTACTGGATTAGCAAGACTTCTTGTAAGTCTGGCGTGCCTCTCATTCCTGGCTGCAGGGAATTTTATTCCCATTTCTCACATTCTTGGCAGTGTTACTGACATGCTGTTCTCACAATCCTCTGATTGTCCTATCTCTCCAGGGACATTAACAATATTGGTGCCATCCATAGGCCAGCTACCTGCAACTGAGGCAGAACAATCAATCTATCAGTTCTTTCATTACGAACAACACCTGCATACCCTGGGATGAAGATAAACGTAACTCCGCGCACACACGAGTTTCACAATGACTCAATCAACTTTCTGCCTTGACCCGCCGGATCCCACTCAGAGAATCACTCAGCACACACATGATTTATGTATCAGTTATGAGATGAGAACTGACATCACATCACTGAGACATTCTCATAAGCACACCATCCCTATCTTCAGCAGCAAGCACAGAAATCCAATTCCGATCGTACCAGTAAGCCTGTGTGTATGTCTGTCATGCCCCTTCTTTGAGTTTATGTCTGTCTCGCACTTTCCCTGAGTGCTGAGCGGTAGCGAGACCCCCTGGTGGCTCCTTCCCTGCACCATTCTCTTTAGACTGTGAAGAACTATTTGTGCGTCCACAATTTATTTGCTTCTAAAGGAACCTTATAATATCTAGCTCGTCATGCATCAATCTGCCACCAAGTGGTGCTGAACCAGCCAGTCAATCTGCCTGTTTATTTCCCAACACACTAGCATGACCTGGAGAAAGACATCTGAATGATGCTATCAGGGACCTCTGAAGTGATGTGCCTGCCACTCTGCAGGGAGCCTACCTGTCTCCACCTTTCTCAACATGCTCTGTAAGTTACTATCATGACATGTATGGGAAGCTGGTTCTCAAGGCATCTACCTCCACTGTCAAACCAGTTGTTGCTGTATCGAATGCCACGCTTTAGTGCATTAAGGGACATCCGTTCATTTTTTCTACAACCCCCATGCACTTCTGCTGCCTCTCAACACAGAGCCATCTGTATAAATAATTACATTTCATGGTCGCAAAACATATATTTAAATATGTGAAGAGGTACTTAAATTTCACAATGGTATAGTTTGGATGTACTGTGAGGAGTGGCTGACAAAGTGATTAGAAGGTTTGATCAGTTGGAGGAGATTTTTGTTGTTGTTGGGAGAAAGAAGAAGAAAAAGTAGAAGAAGTAGTAGCAGAAAAAGAAGTAATCTTCAATGATAATAATATATGTAAACTACCAAAAAACATGACAATGTATGACTGGTAGTCTGGTAGTCTTAGTTTCAGCTTCATAGCAAACGGGTCACCCCATCTTTGCTCCGCTCCTGTGCCAACGAAAAACACACAGAATGTTTATCACAGTATTAGAATTGCAGTTCATCATTGATGGTAGCAGAAGTCGCCAACAGATCAGCAGTTGCCCTCACATACGGGCACCACAACACTGCACAACAGGCATCGCGTCATTTTCTGAATCTACAATTCACACCAACATGTTGGTCACAGTCGAAAAAACATTCCAAATGCAATCCGCAGCTCACAGGGTCACGCCATGCATTCAACTCAGAAGCTGGGCGACGAAACTATATCCAGTCTACAAATGGAGCAAAAATGCATCGGCCACCGTCCGGCAGAAGCAAAAAATTTGCCTCTGTTTCGAACAGTGCCGCTGCCTAACATCCATTTTGACCCAAAACTTGACAATGTATGAAACAGGATGTGGCCAAAACAAACAAGAACTTACCAGGTAAAGCACCCTAAAAGAATGTCCAGTCAATTTGGCAATCTGTACAAGTGACGGATACTTCCATACCAAAATCTGGTTCTGTGAGTATCCATGTGTGCTAACCTAAAAGTACATACAATGTGACATGTGACAATTTACTTCTTTCTATATAGTCAATTTTAGTTAGTTGTGTATCCTTTACAGGATGTTGCAGAACCAACCCCAGTATTTTTTGGCTGTTTTGGTTTTTCTAGGCAATTTCACGTTCAGTAGTTTGCCATTCTTACTGAACGGTCAGCTCTCGGTACCCCTGTCAAAACCAACGCAAGAAAAATTGTCCGCAGCAGGGATCGAACCCAGCACCCTGGCATTACAAAGCGCGTTCGCAACGTCTAAGCCACAGACGCCGACACTAGTCGATTTACTGACATCTACATTAATCAATTTACCATTCTAATTTCAATTCAACTGACCACTGTCTTGTATTAGTCAAATTACAACAGTCAGAAAATTCACAGCAAAAGAAAGACAGGCAGACAGACAGAACGAGAATAAACAAACAAACAAATTGTTATTTTCAGGGGATTCTCTTCTTAGCATTCACCAGCTGTAAACTTCAGCAGAAAGTTCTGTGTTGTTCGTCCACATCTGGACTTCGGTCTTGTCTAGAACCTGAGTTTTGCATGCACATTCGTTTAACAGATCTGGCTCAAGTGTAAGAGGACTGTTGGTTCCTCGCCTCTTAGGTAGATAGATACACTATAACTTCAAAGGAAACAGTCCTAGTTAGTCATCTTTTCAGACATACTTGCTGGTGTCATCCTTCCTATGCAGTAAAAAATGCCAGAGAAAGAGAGAGAGAGAAAGCAAGAGATAGACAGACAGATAGACAGACAGATCAAACTGCTGTGGCAACACAGTTTCTACAATACTCAGGAACTTCAGGCCGGGCCTGAAATGGCTGTTTCATATACCTCTCTACAACACAACTCTATCCTCTGGAAAGATGCCAATAGACAAACAAACAAACAATGAAAGAATGAACCACACTTACCAATTCATTAGAATGCTTCGACCAGGCCAAGTTGCAGACCTGAGAGCCTGTGTCCACACAATGCAAAGGCTGGTTGGTCAACGTGTTCCAGAATCTGATGCAGCGGTCAGCCGTCCCGCCACCGCTGGCCAGGAGTCCATGCTGGTGTGGGGACCAGGCGATGGCTTTCACTGCCGCCAGATGCTCCATGTGCGTCTGAACCGGAGAGGTGCTCGTTGCATTCCAAACAAACAAACGGTTGTCGTTGCCTCCCGAAGCCAAGTGTTGGTGGTCGGGAGACCACTTTAAACCACAAACCTTTACAGAAGGGAAATGATGGATGAAGAGATCAAGAATAGGCTGCAGAGGTCATAAGACTAGTCAACAACAACAACAAAATTTCAAAAGACAGAGAAAAGAAAAGGCAGAATAGGCTAAGAAAAAAGTATGTCAGATTCACAAAAAGCACTTATAATAAATAAACAGAAGACAAGAAACTTAACACAACACACACACAAATTAACTAACTGAAATCACAGCATAACAGTAGTCAAATGTGTAAACAAAAAATTGGAAATAATAAAATTCTGACTGACCCAGATGATATGCCATGGCGTGATGTCACTGTCTAGCATCTCATCTCTATAGGTTGTCACTCAGCTACTTTTAATCTCTAAACTTTCAACCATCATAATGTGTTAAGACTAGACTTAATGCAGCTCACCCTCACCATGAAGTCATGCTTGTGAGTGTTGGTCAGTGTAAGACTAGGACTTAATGCAGCTCACCATGAAGACATGGTTGTGAGTGTTGGTCAGTGTAAGACTAGACTTAATACAGCTCACCCTCACCATGAAGACATGGTTGTGAGTGTTGGTCAGTGTAAGACTAGGACTTAATGCAGCTCACCCTCACCATGAAGACATGGTTGTGAGTGTTGGTCAGTGTAAGACTAGACTTAATACAGCTCACCATGAAGACATGGTTGTGAGTGTTGGTCAGTGTAAGACTAGACTTAATGCAGCTCACCATGAAGACATGGTTGTGAGTGTTGGTCAGTGTAAGACTAGGACTTAATGCAGCTCACCATGAAGACATGCTTGTGAGTGTTGGTCAGTGTAAGACTAGGACTTAATGCAGCTCACCATGAAGACATGCTTGTGAGTGTTGGTCAGTGTAGTACTAGACTTAATGCAGCTCACCCTCACCATGAAGACATGGTTGTGAGTGTTGGTCAGTGTAAGACTAGACTTAATGCAGCTCACCCTCACCATAAAGACATGGTTGTGAGTGTTGGTCAGTGTAAGACTAGGACTTAATGCAGCTTACCCTCACCATGAAGACATGGTTGTGAGTGTTGGTCAGTGTAAGACTAGACTTAATGCAGCTCAGCCTCACCATGAAGACATGGTTGTGAGTGTTGGTCAGTGTAAGACTAGACTTAATGCAGCTCACCCTCACCATGAAGACATGGTTGTGAGTGTTGGTCAGTGTAAGACTAGACTTAATGCAGCTCACCCTCACCATGAAGACATGGTTGTGAGTGTTGGTCAGTGTAAGACTAGGACTTAATGCAGCTCACCATGAAGACATGGTTGTGAGTGTTGGTCAGTGTAAGACTAGACTTAATGCAGCTCACCCTCACCATGAAGACATGGTTGTGAGTGTTGGTCAGTGTAAGACTAGGACTTAATACAGCTCACCCTCACCATGAAGACACGCTTGTGAGTGTTGGTCAGTGTAAAACTAGGACTTAATGCAGCTCACCCTCACCATGAAGACATGCTTGTGTGTGTTGGTCAGTGTAAGACTAGGACTTAATACAGCTCACCATGAAGACATGCTTGTGAGTGTTGGTCAGTGTAAGACTAGGACTTAATACAGCTCACCATGAAGACATGGTTGTGAGTGTTGGTCAGTGTAAGACTAGGACTTAATACAGCTCACCATGAAGACATGGTTGTGAGTGTTGGTCAGTGTAAGACTAGGACTTAATGCAGCTCACCATGAAGACATGGTTGTGAGTGTTGGTCAGTGTAAGACTAGACTTAATACAGCTCACCATGAAGACATGCTTGTGAGTGTTGGTCAGTGTAAGACTAGACTTAATGCAGCTCACCATGAAGACATGCTTGTGAGTGTTGGTCAGTGTAAGACTAGGACTTAATACAGCTCACCATGAAGTCATGCTTGTGAGTGTTGGTCAGTGTAAGACTAGACTTAATACAGCTCACCATGAAGACATGCTTGTGAGTGTTGGTCAGTGTAAGACTAGACTTAATGCAGCTCACCATGAAGACATGCTTGTGAGTGTTGGTCAGTGTAAGACTAGACTTAATACAGCTCACCATGAAGTCATGCTTGTGAGTGTTGGTCAGTGTAAGACTAGACTTAATACAGCTCACCATGAAGACATGCTTGTGAGTGTTGGTCAGTGTAAGACTAGACTTAATGCAGCTCACCATGAAGACATGCTTGTGAGTGTTGGTCAGTGTAAGACTAGACTTAATACAGCTCACCATGAAGACATGCTTGTGAGTGTTGGTCAGTGTAAGACTAGACTTAATGCAGCTCACCATGAAGACATGCTTGTGAGTGTTGGTCAGTGTAAGACTAGGACTTAATACAGCTCACCATGAAGTCATGCTTGTGAGTGTTGGTCAGTGTAAGACTAGGACTTAATGCAGCTCACCCTCACCATGAAGACATGCTTGTGAGTGTTGGTCAGTGTAAGACTAGGACTTAATGCAGCTCACCATGAAGACATGCTTGTGAGTGTTGGTCAGTGTAAGACTAGGACTTAATGCAGCTCACCCTCACCATGAAGACATGCTTGTGAGTGTTGGTCAGTGTAAGACTAGACTTAATACAGCTCACCATGAAGACATGGTTGTGAGTGTTGGTCAGTGTAAGACTAGACTTAATGCAGCTCACCCTCACCATGAAGTCATGGTTGTGAGTGTTGGTCAGTGTAAGACTAGGACTTAATGCAGCTCACCCTCACCATGAAGACATGCTTGTGAGTGTTGGTCAGTGTAAGACTAGACTTAATGCAGCTCACCCTCACCATGAAGACATGCTTGTGAGTGTTGGTCAGTGTAAGACTAGGACTTAATGCAGCTCACCCTCACCATGAAGACATGGTTGTGAGTGTTGGTCAGTGTAAGACTAGGACTTAATGCAGCTCACCCTCACCATGAAGACATGCTTGTGAGTGTTGGTCAGTGTAAGACTAGGACTTAATACAGCTCACCATGAAGACATGCTTGTGTGTGTTGGTCAGTGTAAGACTAGGACTTAATGCAGCTCAGCCTCACCATGAAGTCATGCTTGTGAGTGTTGGTCAGTGTAAGACTAGGACTTAATGCAGCTCACCCTCACCATAAAGTCATGCTTGTGGGTGTTGGTCAGTGTAAGACTGGGACTTAATGCAGCTCACCATGAAGACATGGTTGTGAGTGTTGGTCAGTGTAAGACTAGGACTTAATGCAGCTCACCATGAAGACATGGTTGTGAGTGTTGGTCAGTGTAAGACTAGACTTAATGCAGCTCACCATGAAAACATGCTTGTGAGTGTTAGTCAGTGTAAGACTAGACTTAATGCAGCTCACCATGAAGACATGCTTGTGAGTGTTGGTCAGTGTAAGACTAGACTTAATGCAGCTCACCATGAAGACATGCTTGTGAGTGTTGGTCAGTGTAAGACTAGGACTTAATGCAGCTCAGCCTCACCATGAAGACATGCTTGTGAGTGTTGGTCAGTGTAAGACTAGACTTAATGCAGCTCACCATGAAGACATGCTTGTGAGTGTTGGTCAGTGTAAGACTAGGACTTAATGCAGCTCAGCCTCACCATGAAGACATGCTTGTGAGTGTTGGTCAGTGTAAAACTGGGACTTAATGCAGCTCAACCTCACCATGAAGACATGCTTGTGAGTGTTGGTCAGTGTAAAACTGGGACTTAATGCAGCTCACCATGAAGTCATGCTTGTGAGTGTTGGTCAGTGTAAGACTAGGACTTAATGCAGCTCACCCTCACCATGAAGTCATGCTTGTGAGTGTTGGTCAGTGTAAGACTAGACTTAATGCAGCTCACCATGAAGACATGCTTGTGAGTGTTGGTCAGTGTAAGACTAGACTTAATGCAGCTCACCATGAAGACATGCTTGTGAGTGTTGGTCAGTGTAAGACTAGACTTAATGCAGCTCACCATGAAGACATGCTTGTGAGTGTTGGTCAGTGTAAGACTAGGACTTAATGCAGCTCACCATGAAGACATGGTTGTGAGTGTTGGTCAGTGTAAGACTAGGACTTAATGCAGCTCACCATGAAGACATGCTTGTGAGTGTTGGTCAGTGTAAGACTAGGACTTAATGCAGCTCACCCTCACCATGAAGTCATGCTTGTGAGTGTTGGTCAGTGTAAGACTGGGACTTAATGCAGCTCAACCTCACCATGAAGACATGCTTGTGAGTGTTGGTCAGTGTAAGACTGGGACTTAATGCAGCTCACCATGAAGACATGCTTGTGAGTGTTGGTCAGTGTAAGACTAGACTTAATGCAGCTCACCATGAAGACATGCTTGTGAGTGTTGGTCAGTGTAAGACTAGGACTTAATGCAGCTCACCCTCACCATGAAGTCATGCTTGTGAGTGTTGGTCAGTGTAAGACTGGGACTTAATGCAGCTCAACCTCACCATGAAGACATGCTTGTGAGTGTTGGTCAGTGTAAGACTGGGACTTAATGCAGCTCACCATGAAGACATGCTTGTGAGTGTTGGTCAGTGTAAGACTAGACTTAATGCAGCTCACCATGAAGACATGCTTGTGAGTGTTGGTCAGTGTAAGACTAGACTTAATGCAGCTCACCATGAAGACATGGTTGTGAGTGTTGGTCAGTGTAAGACTAGGACTTAATGCAGCTCACCATGAAGACATGCTTGTGAGTGTTGGTCAGTGTAAGACTAGGACTTAATGCAGCTCACCCTCACCATGAAGTCATGCTTGTGAGTGTTGGTCAGTGTAAGACTGGGACTTAATGCAGCTCAACCTCACCATGAAGACATGCTTGTGAGTGTTGGTCAGTGTAAGACTGGGACTTAATGCAGCTCACCATGAAGACATGCTTGTGAGTGTTGGTCAGTGTAAGACTAGACTTAATGCAGCTCACCATGAAGACATGCTTGTGAGTGTTGGTCAGTGTAAGACTAGACTTAATGCAGCTCACCATGAAGACATGCTTGTGAGTGTTGGTCAGTGTAAGACTGGGACTTAATGCAGCTCACCATGAAGACATGGTTGTGAGTGTTGGTCAGTGTAAGACTAGACTTAATGCAGCTCACCATGAAGACATGCTTGTGAGTGTTGGTCAGTGTAAGACTAGGACTTAATGCAGCTCAGCCTCACCATGAAGACATGCTTGTGAGTGTTGGTCAGTGTAAAACTGGGACTTAATGCAGCTCAACCTCACCATGAAGACATGCTTGTGAGTGTTGGTCAGTGTAAAACTGGGACTTAATGCAGCTCACCATGAAGTCATGCTTGTGAGTGTTGGTCAGTGTAAGACTAGGACTTAATGCAGCTCACCCTCACCATGAAGTCATGCTTGTGAGTGTTGGTCAGTGTAAGACTAGACTTAATGCAGCTCACCATGAAGACATGCTTGTGAGTGTTGGTCAGTGTAAGACTAGACTTAATGCAGCTCACCATGAAGACATGCTTGTGAGTGTTGGTCAGTGTAAGACTAGACTTAATGCAGCTCACCATGAAGACATGCTTGTGAGTGTTGGTCAGTGTAAGACTAGGACTTAATGCAGCTCACCATGAAGACATGGTTGTGAGTGTTGGTCAGTGTAAGACTAGGACTTAATGCAGCTCACCATGAAGACATGCTTGTGAGTGTTGGTCAGTGTAAGACTAGGACTTAATGCAGCTCACCCTCACCATGAAGTCATGCTTGTGAGTGTTGGTCAGTGTAAGACTGGGACTTAATGCAGCTCAACCTCACCATGAAGACATGCTTGTGAGTGTTGGTCAGTGTAAGACTGGGACTTAATGCAGCTCACCATGAAGACATGCTTGTGAGTGTTGGTCAGTGTAAGACTAGACTTAATGCAGCTCACCATGAAGACATGCTTGTGAGTGTTGGTCAGTGTAAGACTAGACTTAATGCAGCTCACCATGAAGACATGCTTGTGAGTGTTGGTCAGTGTAAGACTGGGACTTAATGCAGCTCACCATGAAGACATGGTTGTGAGTGTTGGTCAGTGTAAGACTAGGACTTAATGCAGCTCACCATGAAGACATGCTTGTGAGTGTTGGTCAGTGTAAGACTAGACTTAATGCAGCTCACCATGAAGACATGCTTGTGAGTGTTGGTCAGTGTAAGACTAGGACTTAATGCAGCTCACCCTCACCATGAAGTCATGCTTGTGAGTGTTGGTCAGTGTAAGACTGGGACTTAATGCAGCTCAACCTCACCATGGAGACATGCTTGTGAGTGTTGGTCAGTGTAAGACTAGGACTTAATACAGCTCACCCTCACCATGAAGACATGCTTGTGAGTGTTGGTCAGTGTAAAACTAGGACTTAATGCAGCTCACCATGAAGACATGCTTACGAGTTTTGTTTAGTGTAAAACTAAGTCCAGGACCACAATGTGAAAACAACAGAAATGAAATGTCTACAAATCTTAAATGTAAACAGAGGAGTCCGGATCAGAAATGACAGTATAGGGAACCTACACCAAGGTCATAAATCACTTCAAAGGTCCCGGGTAGTTAGATATTTTCTGTAGTTCATGCCGGTGTCTTGGGAAATGAGCAGGCAGACAAACTGGCCGGTTCTACATTACTTAACTGTGAATTGATGCACGACAAGCTGGATGTTGTGATGACCTTTTGGGAACGAGTGAACAGTACCGACGAACACATAGATCATTTACAGTCTGAGGAGAATGGCACTGCGAGGAGTTACCAGGGGATCTTGCTGACGCTCAACACTCAGGGGAAAGGCAAGATGGATATACAATCAGACAGTTACTGGTACCATTAGAATTTTAACTCTTCACTTGCTGCTAAAGATTGGGACTGAGAGCTTATGGGGGTGTCCCAAGTGTTGTGATGTTGATTCTTAATTCAACTAAGGCCATAAAGCCCAACATCTAAGTACCACATAAAAAGGCTCGCACCGGATGCCTCTTGAAAATCTGATGCTGAAATGGCAGAACAGCACTAGAGGAGGAGGAGAAGAAGACAGGGACTTCTTCCCTGGTGACAGTGAATCACATTAACTAGATGCTTTGTTGCCAATCTGAACTTCTTGGGTTCCAGTCCACACCAGGTGGATTTTTACAACTGACCTAAAGCCCGAGGTCGACCCAGCCTAAACTGTTAATCAGCTGATGCCTTGTGGAGTAAAGGCATCCTGTGTGATGTGGACATCAGAGTGCTGACTGGCATTAAAATATGTCTATAGTCAAAACTGCCAACAGCAGGATGAGGGTAAATGACCTTATCCCCCCCCCCCCCCCCCCCAAACACCGCAAACCAGGCACTTTTGGTTGGTACCATGCTCCCATAAGATTAAAAGCTTTCCTGGCTCGCTACAGTGACTCATTTATAAGAAAGCTATCTAAATGAAATGTGAGTCCACTTGCATCTGCACAAACTTTTAGCATGATTATAAATGATTTAATTTAACAAAAAATAGCATTGGGGGGTACCTTGTGAAAATCAGCAGTACCCCCCCCCCCCCCTCAAATAGGGTGTGGAACCCACATGGGCAATAAATCAAAACCAATATAAGAAGTCACTTATTGTCAATACCTCCTGTTTATGTCCCACAAGCTTGCGCTCTGGAGTGGAGTTTGGAGTTCTCACATCCCTCTGTAATATCAGCCGGTCTCTGCTGCCAGACGACAGCATGTCCCCATTCCAAGCTAAAGCCCCTACGAAAGGAAAGACCACATTCGCTGCAACAACAAATGGCGTGGGGGTATCCCCTGTCTTGTAAGTATAGCAGCATTATCTTAATGCCACAATCTACCCACTGTCAACTAAAATAAACCGTCACTCGTCTACCTGTCAGTTTTGGTTATCCGTCATCGTCTAAAATAAAAAATAAAAAAACTTGCCTGAACATTTTGACGAACCCGAAAGAACTGAGACAGATAATGCTGAAGAAACTGTGCAACAAGGTAGGACTAAACATTGAAAACAATACGCCAGAAGAAGAAACAGAGAACTCGAAATGTGACAAAAATGGATAAAGGCTCTGAAATTTTGAATGATGGCAAAATTGTTTCTAGCGTGACTACTACTGAAGAAGAAGAAGATGACAGTGAGGATCGGTTCTTAACCAAGAACCTACAACTAACCACTCAGAAGCAGAAACAATGTTATCAAAGTGAATCAACTAGTTTGAAATGCAAAAAGAAGCAAACGCAACACAAATCGTACTTCTGTGTAAGATATAGAATATCACCGCGCAGAAAGCTAGAGCCTCAAAGACACAGAAGGAGATACCAGATTATTTTAAAGTAATGTAGGTTTAAGATCTCGTGGAAGACCAAGGGAAACCCTACGTAGAACTATCATCAGGGAAGGCTCGCTCATGGGCCACTCAAACATCCAAGAACCTACAATGGATTGCAACGAACCGCCATGCATGGAGAGTCATGACCTCTGCCCTATGTGCCGCACTCGACACAAGAGGAAAGACTAACTAACTAATGTAGGTTTTTAGTATTACATTTCTGATACTGAAGTTTACATTCATCGTTTTGAAAAATTAAATACAATATGCATGTATTATTTAATTTCAAAGGATTGTATTTTCATTTTCGTACCAAGCCCGCAGTTAAATCACGTTACTGTACATGTATATTTTAAGCGATTTCTCTGTATCTGTCTATTCAGATATCCGTCTCAGTCCTGGTCTGGACGGTTAATTAGAGTTTTACTGTACAGCATTATCTACATGTCACAATCTACCCATTATCAAGTGTAGCATTATCTAAACGTAAGAATTTACCTGTTCTTTATTGTAAATACAGCATGATCTAAATGTAAGAATCTACCCGCTCTTGACTTTTATTACAGCATTATCTAAATGTAAGAATTTTCCTGCTCTTAATTGTAAATATAGCATCATCTAAATATAAGAATATGCCCACTCTCAAGTGAAGTATAGCATTATCTAAATGCAAGAACATACCAATTCTCAACTGAAGGACACTGTTATCTAAATGTACAAACTTACCCACCCAGATCTAAGGTATATAAAGTAGAATATACCCAATCTCAACTGAAGGTCATGCTGAGAAAGGTGGACAGATAGGTATGCTCCAGGCACACTGGTAAGCATTGCTTCAAAAGTTCCAGGTAGCTGGTGTCCTTTGGATATTTTCTCCAGGGTGATGCCACTGTGTTGAGAAATGAGCAGGCAGACTGACTGGTTGGTTTTGCACCACCTGATGTGAAAAAAGATGCATGACAAGCCAACTGATTTATGAGTCTTTTGGCAGCAAGTGAACAGTGCAGAGGCACAAACAGATCCTCATGGTCTGAGGAGATTGGTGCTGAAGGAAGTCAACAGAGGATCGGGCTAATACTCAGGGGAGAGATGAGGCCGAGATCCAACAATCAGACTGTCACTGGTAATATCAGAATTGAAACTCTGCGCTTGCTGCTCAAGATGGGGACTCAGGGCTTATGAGAATGTCTTGAGTCTTGTGATGTCGAATCTAAATTCGACATTCAACTGAAGGACAGCATTATTTAAAGGTAAGAACTTACCCACTCAACTATAATGTAAAGCATTATCTAAACTGTAAAGAACTTACCCACTCTAGCTCCATGCCCTGTGAGCGTGTGTAGCTTCTTGCTAACTGAAACATCCCAGATTTGTACATAGCCTTTATTTGTGCCGACCGCAACCTGATTGCCCTGCAAATAAATGCAAAATAAGATGTTCCTATAGGTCCCGGTGCACCTGACAGGTTAGAAGCAAATGCTACTGTTTGCCCCTTCTTCTTCTTTCGTTCGCCTGAAATAAGTTGTCTAAATCAGCAGTTTTGTCTCTTGTATAAATTTCACTTTCGTTGTTAGTTCATTCAGTGGTCCATAGAGTTTACGTTCCACCGTTGTTCTTTCTGGCCAAAAGGTTTGCCTTAATGTGTCAAAATCGGTGCAGTCCTGGAGTACATGCTCTGCTGTCTGGGGCACATTTCCACAGGTGCACATGGCTTATACACCTATCTTGAATTTTGTGTACTTGTGGTTACGTAATCGGTTGTGCCCTGTTCTGAGACGGAGGATAATGACTTGTTCTGGTCTGTCCATAATAAAATAAAGTCATCTTGTGCTGGGGCTGGTGGTTTCCTGATCGATTTAATGATTCTTTTCTTTTGGGGTATCTGACTGGTACATCCGGCTGCTTTTGTCACACCTTCCCCTGCCAATTGATCAGCTTTCTCATTTCCCAGGGCCCGATATTGGGAAAGCAAGAACAGACCAACTGCCTCAACAAGCATGTCATAAGAGTCGACTTATTGGGGGCTTCTTTCAAAGACAGAGTGCATCTGCCTGAGATGCAAGGAACCAACAGTCTGCATTCAAAAAAGTCAGATCTGTAAAATGGATGTGCCCGTAATTCTCAGCTACTGGAAGAAGACTAAATTCCAGAGATAGATAAATAACCAAACGTTCCTGCGGAGTTTACAGTCAAACAAGAAGAAGGAAAACTGCTGCATTATAGATAAAATTACCCTAAAAAATTGAAATGCCATATAAGACTGCTAAATGTAATTGCCGCCAGACCAAATAATTTAAGGAGTCTTAGACGGAGCACAGATCATACACTCACCCACCCCTGCTTTCATATGACAAACAATTTTGTAAACAAAAATTCACATAAACAGTAAAAAAGTGAGCAGTGGCTGGCCAAGCTGTTAAAATACTGGGCTCTCATACAAAGAACCCAGGTTCAAATCCTCGGTAATGCAACGGACAATATTTTTGTCACAGGAAAAATTAAAATTGTTAACTTGCTGCACAGCACTATCCGAGTTCAAGACCATGCCGCCCGACACTACCCAAAAAGCAGTAAAGATTCACTTTACATACTAGTAGCTCAGCGGGCAAAAGAGGCCAGATTCTTAATCTTGCCAGACCATCCGACCCACGACAGGCGATGTGGTCAAAATCACGCTGGCTGCTTTTCTTCCTCGGACTTTCCCTTGTACCCATTTGAAGCTGGGTCAATCTGGGAGACTTGATCATGCTTGAAAAAAAAAAATCAGGCTCCATGTGGATTCGAACCTACAACCTTCAGATCTGCAGGCTAGCGTCTAGCGCCTACACCACAGCGGCTCCCCAAAAAGCAGCAAATACAGGCAGTAAAAACAGAACAAGAGTTATTTACCCTTTCAGACCACGACACAGATGTCACAGTGTCATTGTCTGTTGACAGATCACACAAGCGCGTCACCTGGGGGAGAAACAATTCAAAGTTCTGTGTTAAGATGCCATGGTTAACAATCCACTTCTCTGTGGTCTTTGTGAATATGGCATGCCCAAATATATAACCAACTAACTTTGAGGTCTTCAATTCTGCTGCAGGCTATTTGGAAACAGACCGCTTTGCACTGAGTCTGACTACAGCATGGAGAGCTGACCATACATAGGATAATGACAAACTACTACTATCCTGAACAACTACTTACTAAATGTAACAATGCTTAGTAAAACTACAAACAGCAATACAAACGCTGGGGTTGGTTTGAAAGGCCCGTAACAGGCAAACAACTACCTTTTTTTTCAACTACCGGTCCAATATGGTAGATTGCCGGCATACCGCCTGACGCTCTAAAAATGTATTTGTCCCTAGCCAGGGTTTAGGGTTGCAAATTCTCCACTCCTGAGCAAGAAGTCCACAGACTTCATTATCCAGATGTGAGCTGTGATTTCATGTGGAGTTTTTTTTTTTATTGCACCCCCCCCCCCCCCCCCCAAGCAAATTGAGGCCCTGAACCATGATACATAGGGCTCAAGGCATCATGATATATGTGCTTACAGCACCATGATACATAAGTGCTTAGGGCACCATGATTTAAAAGAGCTTAGGGCACCATGATATATATGCGCTTAGGGCACTATGATATATATGCGCTTAGGGCACCATGATACATAAGTGCTTAGGCGCCATGATACATAAGTGCTTAGGGCACTATAATACATAAGTGCTTAGGGCACCATGATACAACAGTGCTTAGGGCACCATGATACAACAGTGCTTAGGGCACCATGATACAACAGTGCTTAGGGCACCATGATACAACAGTGCTTAGGGCACTATAATACATAAGTGCTTAGGGCACCATGATTTATATGTGCTTAGGGCACTATGATACATAAGTGCTTAGGCACCATGATACATAAGTGCTTAGGCACTATGATACATAAGTGCTTAGGCACCATGATACATAAGTGCTTAGGCACCATGATACATAAGTGCTTAGGCACCATGATACATATGTGCTTAGGGCACCATGATACAACAGTGCTTAGGGCACTATAATACATAAGTGCTTATGGCACCATGATTTATATGTGCTTAGGGCACCATGATATATATGTGCTTAGGGCACCATGATACAACAGTGCTTAGGGCACTATAATACATAAGTGCTTAGGGCACCATGATTTATATGTGCTTAGGGCACCATGATATATATGTGCTTAGGGCACCATGATACAACAGTGCTTAGGCACCATGATATATATGTGCTTAGGGCACCATGATACAACAGTGCTTAGGCACCATGATATATATGTGATTAGGGCACCATGATACAACAGTGCTTAGGGCACTATAATACATAAGTGCTTAGGGTACCATGATTTATATGTGCTTAGGGCACCATGATATATATGTGCTTAGGGCACCATGATACAACAGTGCTTAGGGCACCATGATACAACAGTGCTTAGGGCACTATAATACATAAGTGCTTAGGGCACCATGATTTATATGTGCTTAGGGCACCATGATATATATGTGCTTAGGGCACCATGATACATATGTGCTTAGGGCACCATGATATATATGTGCTTAGGGCACCATGATACATATGTGCTTAGGGCACCATGATACAACAGTGCTTAGGGCACTATAATACATAAGTGCTTAGGGCACCATGATTTATATGTGCTTAGGGCACCATGATATATATGTGCTTAGGGCACCATGATACAACAGTGCTTAGGGCACCATGATACAACAATGCTTAGGGCACTATAATACATAAGTGCTTAGGGCACCATGATTTATATGTGCTTAGGGCACCATGATATATATGTGCTTAGGGCACCATAATACATAAGTGCTTAGGCACCATTATACATATGTGCTTAGGGCACCATGATACATAAGTGCTTAGGCACCATGATACATAAGTGCTTACGGCACCATGATACATAATTTAAGTGCTTACGGCACCATGATACATAATTTAAGTGTTTACGGCACCATGATACATAATTTAAGTGTTTACGGCACCATGATACATAATTTAAGTGTTTACGGCACCATGATACATAATTTAAGTGCTTACGGCACCATGATACATAATTTATGTGCTTACGGCACCATGAAATATAAGTGCTTATGACACAATAATATATAACTGCTTAGGGCATCATAGTATCTTAATCAGGGACTAATTACAAGAGACACAACCCCACTTACCTGGCTGGTACAAGCACTCCACAAATATACAGATGTCCCTAATCCAACGCTCAAAACATTCTGCGACGACCAGTCTACTAAGTTCAGATAAAAGTCATCTTGAAGCTCCGGTGCGTCTAACACTTTAAATGGTAACTTGGATATTTTTCTAACAGCCTGTAATAGACAGAAATACATATAAAAATGCAGTTGGATGGGTAGATGGATGAGCAGATGGACAGACAGTTGCAAATCCTTTAATGGACGTTGCAGAACCAACCGCAGCATGTGTTGACTGTTTTGGTTTGGCAAGGCTATTTTCTGTTCAGTGGTTTGCCATTGCTTTCTGAGCTCTCGATACCCTTGCTAAAACCAATGCAAGTTGGTCTGCTTTCAAATCACCTGCAGCCGGAACTGAACCAGGTACCCTGAAATTTAAAAGCATATCCAAAACGCCTAAGCTACAAAAGTTGACCAGACAGACAGACGGATGAATGGAAGGAAGAACAGACAGGAATTATTTTCCTTAAATTCTAAATAACAGTAGAAAATGTCAATACCATATCTTCTTCTTCTTCGCATTCACCAACTGTAAACTTCAGCAGAAAGTTCTGGTTGTTTATCCACCTCTGGTCTTTAAACTTGTTTCAGAACACGAGTGTTGCATGTGCATCCATTTGTCAGATCTGACTTATTTTCATGCAGACCGTTGGTTCCTTGCCTCTCAGGCAGATGCAATCCATCTTCAAAGGAAACCCGCAATTAGTTGACTTTTACGACACACTTGTTGGGGAGGCAGTGGGTCTGTTCTTGGTTTACCCACAATGGGGCCCCAGAACCCACATGAGGATCAATAAATACTTCATAAAGGCATTCGGGCTGTAGTGTGGCACACCACTGTCACATTAAGATCATACCTTTCTGGGTGACCTCAGCAGCTTCTGACTCTTGCTGCCAACAGGAGACAATGAGTAGGGAGATGTATCACAGCCATCTGAACATCTTCTTGGTGTGTGGAACTGAGGGCAGTCAGACAAGGATATCAAATAAACTGCAATTTCCATCACAAATCAAGCAAAGTTAATTAGCTAACTCTTGGACAAAACAACAGTGCCTTCAAATGTTATCTAGTGGATAAAGCATAGTGCCTTCAAATGTTATCTAGTGGACAAAACAACAGTGCCTTTAAATGTTATCTAGTAGACACTGTCCTATGGCTATTTTCTTCAGGATATACAGGTGTGTTGGGAAACAAATCAGCAGACAAGACTGGCTAGGTCTGCATCAAAGTAGGTGAACTGGTGCATGACAAAGTACATGTGGCAAGGCCATTTTGGAGCCAGCGAATAAAACAAACACAGATAGATCATCACTGTCTGAAGGATAGTGCTGAGGAGAGTGACCACTTCATCTGGCCAACACTCAACGGGAAGACAAGACTGATGTAAAAATCAGAACTGAAATTCTTTGCTGGCTGCTGAAGATGAGGATGGATTACTTATGGGAATGCCCTGTGTGCTGTGACACTGGTTCTTAACTCAATGTGTATCTATGAGACTAGAGTGAAAAGAAAACAAGCAAACGAAAAGTTGAGCCAGTCAGCTTCACATTATCACAAACACATGGTACAACCACACAGTGATTTCACCCACCAAGAGACAAAGAAATTAATACAATCTAGTTTCCAAGAAAAGTTGCTGGATACAAACACCAGATTCTGTCTTAAAGACTTGCTTCATTGACTTTCTATAGAGGGACAATGTATTATGTGCAGACTAAGCACAGGGCACAACAGACTTTGTCAACATATGTTCAAACTTTTCAGTGTAGAAAACACGAAGACGTGTCCCAGCAGTGTGGCACCAGAAAATGCTGAGCATGTGCTGCAACAATGTCAACTGTATGCTGACAACAGATAAAAACAATCTGGTCTGTTTCAACCACAATGAAGACACAGCTGTATGGTGCACAAGGAGATATGGACTGCACGATAGCTTGTATAAAGGCTTCCAGCCTACTGATGTTTTCTGACAGAATAATCGAAGAAAAAGAAGACAAACACAAACGACAAGTGAATGATATGGCCAGACAGCCTTCCTCAGCACATTACAGAAATCTAAAATATCACAAACATAAACAAAGAAGAAGAAGAACCAAATTTCACATAATCACTTAGCTGATGTATTTCCTACAGAAATCACATCACTGTCCAGGCAGTAGAATAAAAATGGTCTACCTATGAGACTAGTGACACATGTCCAGTGTGTATGCTGGCATGGAAATAAAACCTTAATTTTATTAACACTCACCAGCACCACAATACAGTCATCTGCATACACTCGCTCAAGCAGCAGACTTACTTTAAATAAGTTTTTGGTTTCTTTCAGAGCCAGAACTTTCTTGTCTTCATGCTGTATATCCTGGGGACAGAAACAAAACAGCATCTAATGTTTTATCAGCCATCTTTCTAGGTGACCCGAGCAACTTCTGAATTACAAGATACTGCACACAAGCAACATTATCAGTTTTGTCTTTTTTTCTTCTTCCCTCTTTTGTCAGTATCTGCTCTATTCTGCTACGAGTCACATTTCAACAGACAGGTAGCAGAGCCAGGGTGTACTCAGTTGTTTGGTATACTGCTATAGTGTGACGACTTGGGCTATTATGGACTTCTTCAGTCCATTTTTCTTCTAGATCTTCCTCTACATCTTCGTGTTTCCATTTTCATACTGTATGCTCTTGCTGCCGGCATCATTGGGTTCATTCTCACTAAGTGGATGAACCATTTCAATGTTTATTTCTGAATAAATTTAAAGATGGATATTGTTTTAACAGTTCTTTTATTCTCTTGTTTCCCACACGATCTCTTCCGATTTGTTGGGCAGCCTTTCTTGGACATCTCATTTCACATGTGGTTAGTTTTCTCTTGTGTTTCCGATCAATGTCCAAGTCTAACACTGGTAACATAAACTGTCTTTTATGACCTATAATATTTCAGCTGTTCCTCTCATGATTATGTTCTTTCTTCATTGAAACCGTGCCAATTTATACACTATTTTTTTATAACTATTTTTAAATCCAATACTTATATACTTGTGTGCTCACTATGTCTTTATTATTAATCAACTTGCCAAAAGAACTATCTATTTGGGGGGGGGGGGGGGGCGGATAATGGTTAATTGTGAAAAATTACTTATTGGGAGGGGGAAAGGGAGGGAGGGAGGGGGTGACATTATGACATCATAATCTGCCTTTAGCCTTTATCAGTGGCAACAGGGGTCTGTTAAACTCATCTTATAAACTGTTAAAGCCAAGGAAATATACTCCAATTAATTCTCAACTCGTCATATTTCCTGATTACTTCCCTTCACATATTTCTTTTAAAAGTTGTAAAATGTATGTAAATATACTTTTTTTTAAACACATTTTTGTCACCTGTGTAAAAAAAAAGTTGTGCATATAGGGAATTTTTTTCCAAGTTCCTGGGGCAAAAAAGGTTAATTTCTCTTTCAAAAAACAAATCTTTAGTTTTTATTCCTCCATCTCAAGCAGTAAGGTACTGTCAAGAAGTAAGGTACCAGCAGTAAGTTATTACCAAGCAGTAAGGTATTACCTTCAAGTCTTCAATTCCAGCAGAAAGCAATTCATTTTTAAGTAGACAGGCATAAGCCAACCCGTCTTTGCATGTTTCATTGTTTGCATCTTTGGCTTTCAGTGTAGAACTAGGAGTCTGCAAAACAGAAGATCAAAATGAGTTATACAGTGACTGCATGAGCAAGTCTTCTGGTTGCGTAACCTACATCTTCTTATTTTTCTTCTTCTGCCTTTCTAGCCTTTCGGCCCTCAACCAGTTCTATCATTCGCATGCGCCTACAGCCCTTCCAATCCTTTTAACTTCGCTAACTCCCTTCTCCATGTGGGTTTTTTTGGTCTTTCTTTATTTCTATGCCTCTGTGGGTTCCAGTGCAAGGACATTTTAGTAATAATGTTCTCAGGTTTTCTCAATGTGTGTCTTATCCAACGCCAGCATCTTTCCTTCACCCCTTGGTTAACTGAAACTTGTTTAGTTCTCTCCCAAAGCTTGACATTAGTGATTCTATCATACCATTTAATTCCCTCTATTCTGTGCAGGCACCAGTTATTGTTCTCCATGTTTCGGCTCCATACAACTGAACAACCTACTATATAAGAGATCCATATTTATGAAGAGTAGCACCTGGTTAAGTGGCTAAAGCACTGGGCTCTTCACCTAACGTCCACCTTCTTCCAGTACTTGGTGTTATGCAGATACTCGCACCTCTACTTGGCAACTTGCCTGTGTACCTGTACTAGTCAATTAAAAAAACCAAAGCACTGCTTGCCTGCTACTTCTACATGCCAGGTTGGCAATTGTATGCCAAATTTCCATCAAAGCAGATTTTTAAAACTGATCATCATCATTACCCTGATTAATCCAGCTCAATTAGTAGTATCAGGAAGTGTTTTGGGAAGCAAAGCGATCTGCGAGTTGCTGACCAAATCACTAAAGTAACAAAACGGTCTATAAAAAACATGCTAGCACCATCTACACCTTACTGCACAAGCCACTGAAACCTGACATTTTTTTTAACTCTTCAAAATGTGATGACATTGTACACTGTTCATTTTCTTCAAGACAGAAAGGGTTAAATAAAGTAGGAATGGGGAGGGCGATACTTCAATTTTAATTCACCTGAAACATCATTGCACATAACCATAAGTGCTCCGATCTACTCCAGAGTATGTCTCCGATCTACTCCTGAGTATGTCTCCGATCTACTCCTGAGTATGTCTCCGATCTACTCCTGAGTATGTCTCCGATCTACTCCTGAGTATGTCTCCGATCTACTCCTGAGTATGTCTCCGATCTACTCCTGAGTATGTCTCCGATCTACTCCTGAGTATGTCTCCGATCTACTCCTGAGTATGTCTCCGATCTACTCCTGAGTATGTCTCCGATCTACTCCTGAATATGTCTCCGATCTACTCCTGAGTATGTCTCCGATCTACTCCTGAGTCCGTCTCCAAGTGTTTTTTAGGCTAACAACTCTCCTTCTGTTCTGGCTGATGTAACGATGGGTGGCTCCTGCAAGGTTTTCCCGTTTCGCTGGCTGTTCCAACTGGTACACCCAGGGTATGCAATATTCAGTGGAAAAATAATTTTCCACAAAAATGAAAGCCCCACAGCATTTAGTGTCTCGTATAACATTGATGATGTCTTTCCTGTCCACAGATGGCCTATTGCTGATAGTCAATGAGTTTTTCAAAGGGCATCTTCTTGTGTTCATCTTCCAAGTCTAGGGCCACAGCACGTTTCCACTCCTGCATGGAAACCTTCATAAACATCGTAAGCAAAAACAACAGCATTTTACTCCACGTATCCCTGTGTGATCTATACCCTCACAATGTAGATGGCAGCCTACCTACTGGTTCTAATTTAGGAGTAATTTACCTTGCCACTATTTCTTCTAGCAGTTTTCCATTTGTGTTTAGCAGACTGATAATTCAGTAGCTGCTTATAGAAGATGGTTCTTTGCCAGGCTTGGGCAAAAGTATTAAATAACTTTGAAGCCATGTTTCATTTACTGTGCCTGTCCTTATGTTATTGTTGTATTCACTGAACAGTTCTGATAGTTCCTCATCTGTTAGTTTAGAAAAGTCCTCATATCTGGACCCGGTGATGTTTTCTTTCTTTCTTTCTTTCTTTCTTTCTTTCTTTCTTTCTTTCTTTCTTTCTTTCTGATTTTGTAAGGGTGTCCATTGTTTCCTCTATAGTGATATAGGGCTCTTCTTAAGAAATGACAGTTTTACAAAAATCTGTCAATGCTTCCTTGAAATGTGTTCAACTTTCAGTATCCGTCTGCTTTGTTAGCTGCAGATACTGGTTGACAAGTAATAGCCCTTTGCTGTCATCCATTCTGTGCCACCTACCATTATGTTTCTGAATGTAAGGCAAGTTACATTCTCATGGCATACCAGTCATTGGCTGCTGTGTTGCCAGGAAAGCTTTAGTGATTTTTCACAACCCACTAACTCACAGAACTCTTCCCACTTTATATTTCTGCTCTGCCATGTTACAGTTTTGAAACAATTTGTTGTTTCTTTCGTGGTTCGTATCAATCAAGGCAGTGAGCTCATGGGTGCTGCCCGTTTTCCGCACTTTTTGCCATTCTCATCCTGCCTGTCACTTTGTTTGTCAGCATTTTTCCACCTCCCTATTCAACCTTGGAGGTTATGACCTAGGCCTTTTGTATCGGACGAGTTTGGCAGCTGTTCTTCGGATTCTGCCAGTATTGTCATATATAATGTTTCTTTGTAGCAGGTGGGTTAGTAGTTTGCGACTCTACAGCAAGACGGAAGGTGGTCACCGTCATGGTAGTCAAGGACGTCCCATTAACATATGGAGGTCAAAGTTGGTTTTAACAAGAGCCTCCTCTTAAACTAATCCTCATTATTTTAATTCTCTCCCCTCCTCTCTCGCACATACAAAGTTATCTCATTTTTTAAATTCACATACACAACAGTTCTGAAACAAATGTATTTCCAATTCAGTTCTTACCTGTTGTATATCGAAGTTGATATTCCAGCAAGGACTTGCTCTAGATGGTATAAATCTATCACCATAGATTCTTTTGTTTGGCGACACTACAGGACTGGCATATCCGGACTGCAAAACAAAAACCCATGTTCTTTATGAGAAATATGAGTCAAGTGTCTCTGTACCAGAATTTGTTACTTTAATAATGTAATACATGTATAAACACAAAAAGGAGTTAATTATTACACTCCTTGTGTGGGTTTCAAGGCCCCATTTAGGGTGCAGGTTGGGGGGACAGATCTTAGTTAGTTAGTTAGTTAGTTGGGTTATAATCATTGCACTCAGGACATGTCCATAGGTGCTCAGATCCTTCTCTCAGTATGAACCCCAATGTCCGATGGCTAATAGTACCAGTTCTATGTTGATTAACAAGTCTTCTGGCGTGTCTGGTGTGCGTCTCGTTTTTTGCTGTGCCGACTTAATTCCCAAGTCTGCCATTCTGGCGAGTGATGTGGATTCACTGCCATCAAAGTCCTATATTCTTCCCATTTCTCTGAGGGCATTGTTTAATATCAGCATGATCCATAGGCTGACCGTCGGTAGTGATAGCGGATCCAGCCAACCTGTCAGCTCTTTCATTTCCATCGACGAATGCGTGTCCCGGAACAAAAATAAAAGGTGACTTCATGCACAGTGGACTTCTGTAATGATTCAAGCCATTGTCTTCGCACTGAACCTGCCTGAACCCTCCGGATCATACTCATTGAATCACTGACTATACATACGCGGGTGTATTTTTGTGTTTCAAGCCAGGCAAACGCTTGCGTCACTGCCATCACCTCCATCGTCATGCTGCTGGTTGTCATGGAGAAGGCGCCGTGGACTTCTTTGACTGTTCTGCCCGCTGAGCGTGCTGTGAATGCCCATGCGCTTCTTTTTTGGCAAATAACGGATCCGTCTGTATAGATTAGTGCATCTGCTTTGTCTGAATTTTCACTAATGAGAGCGTTTACCTCTGCATTAACAGCAACAGGATTCTCTTCTCTACATCGCCTGTTGAGTGTGACAATACAAGAAAATGTACAAATAAACGCCTGAGGCACAGGTATCCATTCTGCACCAGCTATGATGTCGGTTAGGCTGCATATTTGCCTAATAACATCTTCTGCCCGACCGAGCCACGATTTTCCCCTCTTCAGTCTGTCACCCTTTTCACTAAAAAGTGCTTGATGCAGTAGGTGTTTCTTATCAGCACATATTTTAAGGTATTCCCGAGCCCTCCACATCCTGATCCTTTGGTTCATTGTTGGAAAGTCAAGTAGATACCTCATTGCTCCACAGGATGTGTCTCTTTTACATCCCAAAATAATGCGCATGGCTTCATTTTGCACCTTTTCGAGTCGTTCAATCTGGGTAGCACTGACAGTGAGGATGGCCAGAGCGTATTCAATGGGAGAAAGGACCAGACCGTAGAATAGAAGTATTAGTAGTCTTTGCTCGATATTGGAAGCAGCCATAATCCTCATTGCAGATAGACCTTTGCGTGCTTTTGTTATCACATGGTCAACGTGTTCCCTGAATGACAAGTTGCGATCGAACCTCACCCCAAAAAAACGTCATAACGTTGGTTCTGATCAATACATTATCACGCATTTTCACTTCTGGTAAGTCCGTCTTGACAATGTGATTGTTCAAAGAGAACCATGACACTGATGCCTTCGAAGGATTGACATAGGCATTGGAACCATCACACCAGGCGGCAATTCGATCGAGGTCTTTGTGCATTGTGCTGGCGATCTCCTGTCTATCACGCCCTCGTCGATAAATCAAAATGTCATCAGCATATGACAAAGTCCTTCCCTTTCCATTCAACTGCTGCTCAGCGATCATCACCGTATACACGTTGAATAAGACTGGTGATAGCGGTGATCCTTGTGGCAAGCCTGGACATATTGTCTGCGGTTCTGAGGACCAGCTACCACATCTTAGTACAATCTTTCTATGGAACAGGACCGCAGCAATTCAGCGGATCAGAAAAGGATTTACTTCTAGTTTAAGCAGTATTTGCATTAAATAGTCATATGGTACTTTATTGTAGGCATCTTGTAAGTCCAACACTGCCGCACATGTCTTTTCTTTAATCTGAAATCCCTCGTAAACATCGTAGGCGAAAACTGCAGCATTGAACCATGTCTCTTTATTCAACCTGTACTCTCCAAGTGTTGGTGGGAACTTATCAAGTAGTTCCAAGTAGGCGGTCAATCTTTGTGCGACAATTTTCTCCAAAAGTTTGCCAACAGTATTCGGCATCGAGATGATTCTGTAGCTGCAGATCTTTGAGTGGTCTTTATTCGGCTTTGTTAGTGGAAAAAAATAACTATGAGGGTTCATTTCATAGCCAAATTTACCAATCAATTTCAAGGCTTTTCAAGGTCTTTTTCAAGGTCTCCTTAGTTTTTTTCAAGGTTGTCTCGGTGTAATACTGAAACAAGATTTTTGCCTTGTTCAAGGGTGTACTGAGCACACAAGGTACTTCATTTGTGCCACATGTGTTGGTATACCAGCACAGATATCATCATCATGTAGCATTTCCTTTGTCCTGACAAAAAAACCTCGGTCTCTCACCAGCTCTCCCGCCTCGTGTACTTTTTTATACTCAAGGAGTCACTTATATCCTGTGCCCATCTTCGTGTTGGTCGGCCCCTGAGCTTGATATAGTGTTTGAAATTTTTTTTTAGGGCTTGGTGGTAGAGGGCAGCAAACTGAAGTCCTGTCTGTTCTGGACCTGGTACCTGAGAGGGTTAGGGGGAGAGAGAGAGAGTCATGAAGAGAGAGGAAGACACATGCTGAGGTAGGCTGGGAGAGACAGTGTAAAGATGGACAGATGAAGGTAGAGAAAAGAAGGAAAAGAAGTCTGGGGAAGGAGGAAAAAATGAGAGGGAGGGATGGAGACATGATGAGGAAAAGTGGGGAAGGGACAGCGAAAGACAGAGAGGGAGACAAATACAGAAAGAGGGAATGCAGATACAGAGATGGGCAGATGAAAAGAGAAGGAAAAAGGGAACAAAACAGAGATATGGAAGGAGGAAAATATGACAAAGAGTTGAAAGAAGGGAGACAGAGGGAGAGAGAACGGACAGGGTGAGAAGCAGATGCAAGCAGAGAGAGATGTAGACATAAAGGAGAGAGAGACAAAGGGACAGCACAGAGAGGCAAGCAGACAGGGAGAGAACCAAAGAAAGAGAAAAAAGGCAGAGCAGGAGATTGCGAGGGAGGTATACAAAGAGGAAATGATGAAGGGAGGCAAACAGACATAAAGCAAGAGAGAGAGAGAGAGAGAGGTGGGTAAGGAAGGCAGTGACAAACACAGATTAAGAGAGAGGGGCAGGAAGGGAGACAAGATACATCAAAGAAGAAAAACAGCCACCTACCCCCCCCCCCCCCCCCCACACACACAATTTCAAGTGTAGTGGACACAACCACTAGGAAAAGATAGTTATGGGGCAAAAAAAATATGTAGATGAACCAGTAAAAAAAATGGGGGGGGGGGGGAGAGAATGAGAGAGGGGAGCGGGTAAGGAAATCTAGAGAAAATGAAAAGACAGGATGGAGAGGAGACAAAGAAGAGATGGGACAGGAGAAAGGGCAAGGAAAGGAAGAGAGGAAGAATGGAGAGAAGGGAGAATAATAGAAGATCAAAGGAAAGAGAAGGGGTGAGAGAAGAAAGGTAAGACACTGTTGTGGGGGTGAAAAAGGGGGGGGGGGTAAGAACAATGAGTGCCAAAAATAGAATTAGGAAATCTCTAAGTAAGGCCACTTTTCTGGTTCCTACCCTCTCCCAATGTGAATGTGGCCGTGGTCCAAAAACAACAGTGCTAACCCCTACTGCCCCTTGCTTGTCCTATCTGTGTGTGACAACAATAATTCAATTTCTTACACTTAAGGCTAGTGACCTGAGAGCCTAGGTCATTTTATGAAGACAAAAAAAGTCCAGGGGATCCCAACCCACCACTGGTGGAAAATAGAGAAGTTTACCCGCACACATAAATAGGTCAGACACATAAATAGGTCAGGGGCAGCAGTTGTGGACTTAGTTTTATTTCTGGTTTTCCAATTACAGAAAGGAGGGGAGAGAGGAGGTGGTGGAAAGTGGTGTAGAAGGCTGAGGCCGTAAGGGTGAGACACGAGGAGGTGAGAGAATACAGTTTAAGAAAATAAAGTGGGAATGAGACAGGGAGAGAAAGAAGGGAGTAAGAAATAAGATGAGATATAGAGGGAAAGAAGGTAGCAGGAAGGGGTGCACTCCCTCCCCTAGGTGTCCACTCAATGTGGGAGGAGAAAATTTGGGGGGGGGAAAAAAGGGGTGGGGGGGGGGGGGGTTTTTTAAAAGTAGGACATATATTTAATGAGGGGTAGCGGGATGGGGGAAATGGGGGACATTTAAATGTTCTGGGGTGTACGATTCGAGTGCACTACCTCGCAACACATCAACCTTCTACACCAACTGAAAGTTATGGAGAAAGATAAGAGAGTGGGGAGGAGAGATGGTGGACATGAAAATGTCTGCACTAGGCAACACATAACCTTCTACACCAACTGAAAGGATGGAGAAAGAGAGAGAGAGAGAGAGGGAGTGAGTGAGGGAGAGTGGCAAATACAAAGAGAAAGAGAGAGAGAAAAGCAGTGACACAGACAGGCTAATAGTGAGGAACAGGTAGGACAAAATGTGAGGGGGCGGGAAGGGAGATGGACAGAGATTAAGGCCGCTAGGAAAACAAAACATCAAAAGAAAAATATCCACCATGTTCACACAGAATTCCTCCCCCCCCCCCCCCCCAAATACAACTTCCTGTGTACTTGAGTTGCTAGGAAGAGTTATGGAGCCGCACATTTACTAAACATTTAAACAAGAAATAAAATAGGAAAAAGGGGGAGGGGGGACAGGAAATGAGAGAGTAAAAGGAAAGATAGAGAGAAAGAGAAGAAGATGAAGATCAGAAGGGAGGGTTAGAGACAATGCAGGAGACGGGAAGGAAGGAGCAATAGGTAGAAGAGTGAAAGAGGGAAGGAAGAGAGAGAGAGGGGGGTGAGACAACAGAAGAGGGAATCTCGGGGAATTACAATACTGA